CGAGCATACGCGAAATCCTTCAGTGGGTACGTGCATTGTTTATACATGGGGGTAGAAGAGCTTTCTCCCTGGTAAGCATGCACGCACGCGACGAATCTTCGACAGTGGTCCCGGAGCGTCAAACTGCAATGACCGTAATCATCCGTGAAAACAACGGTGCAGCCATGATCCGCATCTCCTATGACTGATCTTTAAAATCAACTTTTCTATTAGGGTGCTAAGGGGTGTGAATGCTATCGTCCTGAATATGGTATGATCTAACTGAAGCGGCTCAAAGATGGTGACCCTGCAATTCAAAACAGTCATAGATGAGTTCGGAAGATGGCTTCCTCCTTCGAGAAGTTCAATGCCACTGCACTAACTGGGATCTGCCACGTCGAAGTGGGTACTGATGTTGCTGGGTTTTCGACTAATGAAGTGACCATTACCGTTTTGAGGAATAATTACTGCTTACATCACATCGAAGAACAGCCTATGAGTCACTATCACTTGGAATTACTCTAATGAAACACGGATCGCCAACGGTCTATCTTATCGACCGCTCCCCATAACCTCTTAGTCATCCTCGGAACTTTTTGAAAGCACCAGGTCGTTCGTGTTTCCTGTTTTCGTACATTTTGTTCTTTTCTTTCGCTGTCAGTGTATGTAGATCATCCTGGCTAGGATTCTTCATTTCCGCTTCATTAGTTCCTGTTTGCTTCCTCCCTAGCGGGCGTAGGAGTTGGAGTCACTGCTAACTAGTTGACAGGGGTTAAATTCTGCTCAATCTGGACGACTCTCTCTCATTTCCTATAACTTACCAACTATCGTCTGGCTCTATCATTGATTATCATTCATTATCGCACTATTACGTAGCGATGCTATCAGTTTTTCTTGGAAATACTGTAATTCTAAAAGTTTGATTATCTTTATCTATTCACAAACCCATATATCCAAGTCAGTGAGAGTCCCTGGNCCCTGGAACCTGGAAGACCAGCTAAGCATTAAGCTAACAATAAAAGGGGTTCACTTCCTGCTCGTATGATCTATGAGGTACCTACCATAATATCAGTGTAGCTCTCAGTCTGTCTACCAACAGGTTTTGGAGGAAAATTTGCTATTCAATGTGGGCCGGCCCATAAAACCATTCAGACAAATCATGTACTAGCCCGGTCACTATTCAGACACCCTTATAAAATTCAGCCGTTGTCAGACATATGGCGCATCCCCAAGTGGCTACTTGATTGTTTACTTTTCGACGTTTTTTTTTTCTCATAACAATATTTATTAATATTTCAGTGGCATCGGATTATGAAGACACTTCAATATCGACAAATCGCACCCACTATGAATCAATGATAAGGTGTGGTTTTGACGTGGTCCTTATCAGTACTATTACGCTATTACGCCATTGTGCACAAACAGATCTGACTAAGGCTTAGCTGTAAATATTTGAATAATTAAAAAAGTTCTTTTTCTGAAAAAAGACCACCCAGTGATTGCTTTATGACGTTTCAGAAGTGACGCCTTTGGCCAATGTACTATTTGCTTTGAAGAGGAACCATATGATCCAGTTGGATGTATTCATTGTTTGCAATTTATTGGCTGCCGACGGTTAGTGAGCAATTTTCGAAATAGTTTTATCGATTGATCGTCAGAGATCCATCTTTAAATTCATAGATCTCACGACGTCAAATGCAATTTCCTTCGTAAATTTTAATGGCGAAATGAGTCAAAGGCGGACAATATTATCGACTGATTCTTCTTCCTCTTAAACAGAGTGATAAAAAGTGCACGAATCACACCACAACCGCTATAACCCATTTACTCATGGCGCCGTCCTTACGGAGCCCATCTTTATATTGTAATTTCCTTTTAGATAGTGTTGGCGCAGGAAGTCTGATTCCGCGTTGATGACATGATGTTATGCTTCCCCATACGTTATTGATTAGGGGCGTAGCGCGACAAGAAAAAGAACAAATCAGACAAAGATGATCCCTTCAATCATCTTCACAAACGTCAAGTCACATAGTGTTAAATCCGATCACAAGTCCAGTAAATGCATGTCCTCACACGTTTAGATCTCATGAAGCGCTCAACAGCTTGACCGCTTCGCGTCCGCACGCTCCATTGGAACGTAATACGGGCAACAAGTTCTCAATCATTCTAAATTCTAGCATTTGTCCACGGGTAATAGGTGTAAGTTGGTGAAGGTAAACAGGGCTAAGAGGCGCACTAGCACACGTATAGTCAGGGGATCAGGTCTCGGATTCTGAGCAGCCAAACCTTCCAATCACTCCAGCGTAGGTCGATTGATGCCGGACGGAACTGAAAGGATAAGCGGTTATTCTTGTACATTGTTTTGTCTCCACTGGTCGTTATGTCAGCTAACTGTGCATTCAAACTTCGCTAGCATTCTGAATAAAGGTTGCCCGCCAGGCGCGTCCCGGAATTGGATCGATCAACGCAAGAATTCTGTTTTCTGTCGCTGAGTAGTTCTCTGAAAGTTTCATGAGGTTTGTAAATAAGCTTTATTAGGTTGACGTTTCGGCGAAAGCGACTTTTTCAGGGACTGCGAAGAACTCAATTTACAAGCTTTTCCTACAAAATTTTACAAATTTTAATTTTTGATATTACGAAATTTCAATTCCCGGTCGGTTGCTACCATCGATTATTCAGTGGCTTTTGGGATTTGCGAATCTCCAGTGAATGACCCTCTGTCGGATTACGTGCGTGCCCCCCGGGATGAGAATTTCAAGTAGCTCCGCAGGCTTTTGGTGGGGTAGTCACAAATTGTTACGATCCTTTCAGGCTTCGAAGCAAGTGGCTCCGCCAGCCTTACAAAGCTCATTTGCAGACCTCGTAAACAGTTCAGGGAAATAGCTCAGTAATACAGTGGTTACGCCGAGAGTCATAGAAAGCAGTACGTATAAACTACATGTATTATCTTTACCTTGGGTTACAAAGTACAAATTACAATTAAACTTTGATTCCATACTGAACACTAGGTGGTTCCGTTACCTTCACGATTAAAATTGTTTCTGAAAATTCTCTTCAGGATGAATCCGAGGTACCCTCGTATACCATCCCTGGCGCTATTAGGTCGGAAAACGGTCTAGTTAGGAAGGTATAAAGGCTCAAAGATATCATCGTGTGTATCCTCGGACGAGTTTCATCGTCATTGTAGAGGCTGCAAGAGTCACAAGGGAAGAAGTTCAAACAACTTGTCATGACCCAAAGCGACAGTGAAAGGCAGTTCTGTACAGTTCTGTCTTGATGTAGTCAGCTCTTTACGCATTTGCAATAATTGAAATCTCGTCCGAATACCCCTTCCAGGATACTTCCGTCGTGGTAATCTCGTCCAAGCTTTAATTTCCATACTTTTAAGGGGCCATATTTTTCTCGGAGTTGGCGAAGCTCTCGCTTTCTTCACTACCAATGAACTTTTCCCAACCTAAACTTCTGCTTTTCGGATAAACAGGTGAACTGTGCCACGTGATTAGATTCTTCAGTGCTGGCACATCTCCCAATAGTCACGAGGTTTGCCACTATTTGAACCCTGATGCTCAGAGACCGGGATCAAACTAAACTGCTGAACTGCGTTCACTGATAAGAAACCCAATGAAAGTTTTTCATGACAAAAATAAGACTACCCATTGCTGTTATCATGTTACGATTACAGTGGATGCAAAGGGTCGACGTGACTATTAGAACGATTAATTTAATAAAAAATGATTATCGAAATTTAGAATTACGGAAAATGCTCGTTTGTTAACACAACTTTCTAGTGTACCTGTGGTGGGCCTAAATTTGGTCAAGAGCGAAAGTAGTAAATGCGCACTTCGTGGATGCTACGTATATGCTTTAGAGCCAGAAACCAAAAGTCTAAATGGTGCTAGAAGGCTCAGCATGGGAGAAATTTAAAAGAAGTAGCCAGGAAGAGGCGATATAAAGGATATCCTCGCTTGTGCTGGTAAATCTAGCGCATGTACAAAGAGTCTTTCCGACATACAATGAGTGTTCCCCCCATCCAATAAAACGTGCCGCTAGGTCAGGGCGCGAATTTTTCGCGTGCGGCGAGCGGCACTACCACGCGACCGGAGCCACTATCAGTCTAACCCTGCCGCGCGAATGTTTGGGCGCGGCTTCTCTTCAAATTCGAAAGGGCCCTGGCACCGCGCTCTGGACCGTCCCGTGTAGAAAATCACATGCAGAGATATTAGCGGTTTTTCTTGAGCATTCGCTTGGAGACAGTCGTTGCCATAGAGGCGCCATTTCCTGGTTTTAGGCCATTCGTAGGACTTTTTTGCCACGATAACGCCACATGGCGGCGCTCCTGCTGTCTGAGCCCCTTATCACTAAGTTGTTTGCAAAGCCAAGCCTCAGCATCGAATGTATCTCCAAAGAAGACGGAAATTAAGAGAAAAGCCAAGCCCCTGGGACTCTACCACTTCCATGAACTTTACCCGAATGCCCTTACTAGACTGCATACGCGTACGGGAGGTTCTTTGTTGGACCCTTTTCATGTCTTTTTTACCGGTAGGGCTTGTCCTGTTTGAAAGCCCGTACACCATGTCTCTTCTCGAACTAAAGACTGACTGAAAAGCTGGCGCTGTTGGAAGCATTTTGTTCAGAAGCAATAAAAAAGATTTACGGGGAATTGGCTATAGTCGATCAGCTGTTTTTGAAGTTAATTATTACTTTTTGTCTTTACCCGTGCTACCGATACGGTTATCGTTGCCCTATCAGATCAATATACATTTACCGACTGCCTGGTACCGGTTATCTCACTTGTTGGCAGTTGAAAACATAAATTATGATCCACTCGCTTCAAGATTATTCCTAATCGAACAGCGGCCAAAAGCGTTCAGGGCGGGTACGTTGAGAGTTTCGACTCGCTGTAGTCAAGCGAGTTGTATCAGCTAAACTACTTTGAATGAGAGGTAGAGGCGTGGCGCATCTAGGAGAATCGACCATCTGTACTCCCTTCCCTAGAGACCTATGTGTTAGTTTCGGGTTGGAAATAGTCGACTAATTCTTTTTTATATATGTAGCTCAAGCAAACACTTTGGTAAATCAAATAAACAAAAAACAAACGAACTTTGATCACATCATTTTTACCAATTTATGAGTTACCGCCTTGGCGTGGGGCCGGTCTAGTGGCAGGCGACGCCCTATCACTCTCCTAGTCCGTGGATCGAACACCTGTCTCAGCCAGCCAAGACTTCTAGTCCATCAGGACTGGAGAAATGGTACCAGGCTCGTCTGGGAATACAAAAGCAATGTCTTTTACATAGGCTGCCACCTTCGCAAGCATTTGTGTGGGCCAAATACGCATTCAAATGCCGTTACGATTCTGAATGGAGGTCGATTGCGGGGGTATCCCAAAGACGCGATCGATCAATGCCAAAGATCGTGATCCTTTATCCTTCTAGATTTATATCCATATTTCACTTATAAAACCATTTTAGGTGCGTAAATCGGTGGTACGACGTCGCCTGCCGCCTCCATCGGGACAGGCAATGCCCTCTATGTCGTCATGAATGGGAAGAACAACCGGAGGTGTTGGACATTTTCGATCTGACACTCGATTAATTCGACTACTTTCTCAATGCCTTCTCAACACAGCCACATAATGTATATTTACTCGTTTACTATGTTAGTATTGTCTAAAAGACAATTTCAGTGCTATTTTTGAATTTCTGCCAAGAAGTGATTAGTAGCGATGAACGAGTATGTTTGTACGGTGTGTATCACCATGGAATCATGTTGATTTCAATTTTCACTCGAATATTATTATTTTGTTCAACTATAAAGCTTTTTTGGAACTGTTTCTAGTTGTGCACCATTGGCTTAGTGTTTAACAGCAACTGTATGGTTCGGTGATAGGGACTGCTGAGCTAAACGAGCCTTTTCTATCCAAAGACTTTGTTGGAGTTCTCGAGATAAGTAAGACATTAAAAACGGTCGAAACTATAATTCTGGGAGTAAATTTTTCAACAGCCATTTATTAGGTTTTGATAAAAGTTCTTGCCGTTTCCGCGCACGCGCCACATGAATTCAAATTTTGGCGGCTGTCAAATCAGACGAATCGATTGTGCTCCCTAGGTGAACCATAAGTTGCTCTCTATACCAGAGCCTTATCATGAAATTCTGTACCGGCTGAATTTCGTGAGGTTTTTGAAATCTTCAAGACGTTTTTTACAGAATGGATAAGATGCTTTTACAACGGTTTTACTTAAGGAGTTCAAGCTTGGTCAAACTGCGAAGGAGGCAGTCACAAACATAAACGTTGCACGGGAAGAAGGCACCGCATCGGAGCGAAAGTTTCGTCACTGGTTTTAGAATTTTAGAAGTGGGGACGAGTAACTTGAAGGCAAAGAGCGAGTTGGTCGACCTTTTAGCTGGGCACGATGCTTTGCTAAGAGCAGTCGAAGAAGATCGACGTCAATCTTCGAGAGAGATTGCCAAGCACATGGGCGCTCCCCATACAGTCGTCGCTGATACCTCAAACAGCTTGAAAATGGTGAAGAAACTTGACAAGTCGGTGCCACACCAACTCAGGGAGCAGCAACAATTGAGGCGCCTAGAAACTTCAAGTTCCAAGCTGAGAAGGAATGATATTGAGCTGTTTCTTTGTCGTTTTGTAACATGTGATAAAATGGATCGCGTATGACACTAGAAAACGGATTTCTCATTGGATAGGTGTAGATGAGCCTAAAAAATTTCAAGCCAATTTCTTACGTCAAGAAGACAACGATCACAGTCTGGTGGTCTAGCAATGAGTTGATCCACTACCCGTCTCTTCGTCTGATCAAACCATCACCATAGAGTCCTACTGTGATCGCATTCACGAGATGTACACGAAACTGGAGCGAATGCACCCAGCACTAGCGAATCGCCTGCTATTGCACGACAATGCGCGACTGCCTGAGTCACAAATCGTCTTCCAGAAGTTGAACGAGCTGCGGATTGGAGCTCTCCTTCATTCATCTACTTATCTGGTTTTTCACCAACTGACTTCCATTTATTCAGACATCTGAGGAACTTCTTGAAGGATCGAGAAATCGAAAATCAAAGTGACGTGGAAGCTGCCTTTCTCGGGTTCGTGGAGTCAAGATCAGCAGGCTTTTATGAAAACGGAATAATCAAATTCACTTGGCGAAGATGTCTAGAATCGATCGGGACCTGAATGAATGCCCACTTTGAGA